TTTCTAATTTCATTTAACTTCTTTTTTTTTATATTCTTTTTCTCTTCATAATCTAATTTCATTTACTATTTTCATTATTTTTTATTATTCTTTTTTTTATATTGTTACTTAATAAAAATCAAATTGTGTACCAATTAAATGTAGCTAATACAACCAAATAAATATTAACTAACATATGATACCAGTATAGTATATAACTATACCAACAGGGTATACAATTGTGCGCAAAGAGTTAAAAAAATTTCAATTCAATTATTAAACTAAAATAATATCAGTTGTCAATAAAAAATTTAAAAAATTCTAAAAGGATCTAATTTTAAGAATATACCGTTACTTTATATAGCATACTATAATTTTTTATTTTTTTTTTGCATTTTCAATTTGCTCCTCACGCTGGGTAAAAGCTTAAAACAAATTAAAAAGGAAAAGGCAAGTGAATTTACGGGTAATAAGTATATTATTATAGTATATTGTATACTATTACAGCATATTGTTACAGTATCTTGCAGATTATTACAATATACCATAATAATATATTGTATACTATAATAGTATATTGTTGTTGTATAACTCTATACTCCTATAGTATATTAGTATACTATAGCGGTATACTGTTTTGTAAACTATAATAGTGTACTGTTGCAGTATAGCTATATACTCCTACAGCATATTGTATACCGTAGCGGTATACTGTAGCTATGTTCTTCTTCGATTTTCAACTGAAAATTTCGATCTCAATCACCTCAAATCAGCTCCAAATGCTATCAAATTTCAGTATGAACTTCCAGAAGATACTATAAGCAATATTTAACAGCACCCACTTTGAATCAAACAAGAAATCTTCAAAAATAAAATTGAGCTTCGAGCCCAACAATGGTGGATAATGGAAAGATTCTCAAAGGATTATATTAGCATGGGACCAGAGACGTAAATGACCAGAGACTTCTGTAAATGCCATACCCACAAATATTATTACTGCCACACAAAACTAAGGATATTCTTTTGGGGTTTGAATTTCTATTCCAATGTTTTACTCACCAATTGTTTCGATGTTCGTCTCTCAGAAAATGGAATTTTCAGACTTTTCGTGCCAAACTCCAAGTTTGTCCTAATCCCTGGCTATCAAGCACCAGAATTGGAAAATGCTTACGATGTTTCTCCGAAATCTGATGTTTACAGCTTCGGTGTCTTGCTGTTGGAATTATTGACTGGTAAGGCCCCGTTGGAAGCAATTGGCAAGAACACAGGGGTTGATTTACCTAGTTGGGTTCGAGATATGTTTCAAGAAAAGCCTATTATTGATGTTTTTGACAGTATGCTGCTGCATAATTACCATAATTCTAGCTCAGCTTTCGTTTGCAGATTGCGGCTGGAAAATTAGCGGGTAATTATTTTGGGTCTCATGGGTAGGAATAGTAAATAGTTTGGGCATGGGCATTAAAGGGTAAATAGTTTGGATTTAATGGGTATAAAGTGAGATTTTCTCCTTAAAAATGGGTTGTTTGAACCCAAATTTTATTCTTTCCCCGCGAACGAGACTAAAAATACGATCTCACTTATTAATTAATCCTACTTAAGTAAAATAACTATTAAAATAAAACTATCCGTTAAAACAAACTTATTTTTGAGATTTTTTAAAATATCATACTATAAAAAATGGAAAAATCATTGTAAAATTAAGATAATATTCCTGGAACTATTTTTATATTTTTTTTATTAATTTTATGCAAAGTAGATAAATTAAAAGTAACTAGATTAACTAAAAAGGAAAATATTTTTGTGATTTTTATTTTTGTGATAAAATAAAGTAAAGAGAGAAATACTAAACCTAAACTAAATATTTACGCTAAAATGTGCAAAATCTTGGGGAGGGTCAAAATCACATGTCTACACCCTATATGATGTAAATTGAACTACGCCTGACTTGATTCCCGTTTAAGAGGGGATACGTAGGCAGCCCTATGGGTTCGGTCACAATTCAGTAAAATTTTCATTTCCCCCCGAAATTGGAAACTAGGCAGAATTTTGAGGAGGACCCCCAAAATTCCGAAGTAATTTCAGCCGATCGTCGCACGAGCAACAGCCAGAAGCATCAACCCATCAAACTAGGGCAGAATTTTGAGGAGGACCCTCAAAATTCCGTAGCGAGAGAGGTTGCAATGTCTCGAACCACGTCACAGTCGTCTGTTCATCTAAAAACTATTTTTTATCATACATTTATGTTATACTTTTACAAAATCATGCATGTTTACTATCGAAACTGCTTTGTTTAGCAACGCTACCCCAATGATACAGACGGTATCGCCAGACCAAAAGTCGAACGAGTCAGGCAAAGCCCGCGGGGATACGAACTAACCGTCCCCTTTACAAAACTCACGACTTTTCTTTGGATGCAGGCACAAGGACTGCGAAATCATTAAAACATACTGCACACTCATGGAACAAACATTGCTCAAGAATACGACTTTCCTTACCGTTACACTTACCTACATTTGTTATCCGTTAAACAGTGATGTCCCGTATGTCACAATGCTCCCAGTAATCACAACGCCGCAAGCTGCTATCACCTAAGAAACTCTACTATCATTTGCTGTTTTATTTCTTACATAAGGCTATCATTCTGCCTTCCAAGGTTAAGCTCTACCTCTATCTGCATTTGCATTGCATAAGGCTACCATTCTACCTTCCAACTTGCATAAGGCTACAATTCTGCCTTCCAACTTGCATAAGGCTACTATTCTGCCTTCCGAGGTTAAGCTCTACCTCCAACTGCATCTGCATTGCATAAGGGGCCGGGCCAGATATTATGCTATTCCTGCTCGTACCGAGGTTGTTGCCTCCAACTCCGTCATTACAGGTATTATATTGGTTTGTCACAGAGAGGCATCGGTTCTATTCGATCCGGGCTCTAGTTATTCTTATGTGTCTTCTTACTTTGCTCCGCATTTGGGTGTGCCTCGGGATTCTTTGAGTGCCCCCGTTTATGTTTCTACTCCTGTGGGGTATTCTCTTGTTGTGGACCGCGTTTATCGGTCATGTTTGGTTACTATTCATGGTTTTGAGACCAGAGCGGATTTATTGTTACTCGGTACGGTTGATTTTGACATTATCTTAGGCATGGACTGGTTGTCGCCCCATTTTGCTATTCTTGATTGTCACGCCAAGACCGTGACGCTGGCTATGCCAGGCATTCCGCGTATTGAGTGGAGTGGTACTTTAGATCACACTCCCAGTAGAGTTATCTCTTTCCTTAAAGCTCAGCGTATGGTTGAGAAGGGGTGTGCCGCGTATTTAGCTTATGTGAGAGATGTCAGTGTTGATACCCGTTCTGTTGATTCGGTTCCAGTGGTACGGGATTATCCCGATGTGTTTCCAGCTGATCTTCCGGGCATGCCGCCCGATAGAGACATTGATTTTGGCATTGATCTGTTGCCAGGCACTCAGCCCATTTCCATTCCTCCGTATCGTATGGCTCCTCCTGAGTTGAAGGAGTTGAAGGATTAGTTACAGGAATTGCTTGGTAAGGGTTTTATTCGACCCAATGTTTCACCGTGGGGTGCTCCTGTTTTGTTCGTGAAGAAGAAGGATGGTTCTATGCGTATGTGTATTGATTATCGCCAGCTGAACAATGTTACAGTGAAGAACCGTTATCCTTTGCCTCGTTTTGATGATCTGTTTGACCAGCTTCAGGGCGCATAGGTGTTTTCTAAGATTGACTTGCGCTCAGGTTACCATCAGCTGAAGATTTGGGAGCCAGATATCCCGAAGACTGCCTTCAGGACTCGGTATGGTCATTACGAGTTCCGTGTTATGTCATTTGGGCTGACCAATGCCCCATCAGCTTTCATGCATTTGATGCACAGTGTATTCAGGCCATATCTTGACTTGTTCGTTATTGTTTTTAAGGTTGATATTCTGGTGTATTCCCGGAGTCGGGAAGATCATGAGCAACACCTGAGGACCGTGCTTCAGACCTTGAGGGAGAAGAAGTTATATGCAAAGTTCTCAAAATGTGAGTTTTGGCTGGGTTCTGTGGCATTCTTAGGCCACGTGATTTCGAGTGAGGGCATTCGGGTGGATCCGAGGAAGATAGAGGCCGTACAGAGTTGGCCCAGGTCGTCCTCAGCTATAGAGATTCGCAGTTTCCTTGGTTTGGCGGGCTACTACCGTCGTTTCGTGGAGGGATTTTCATCGATTGCGGCCCCTATGACTAGATTGACCCAGAAGGGTGCCCCATTTCAGTGGACAGAGGAGTGTGAGGCGAGCTTTCAGAAGCTCAAGACAGCTTTGACTACAGCCCCAATTTTGATGTTGCCTACCGGTTCGGGGTCTTATACTGTCTATTGTGACGCCTCGAGAGTTGGCCTTGGAGCGGTGTTGATGCAGGACGGTAGGGTGATTGCCTACACGTCCAGACAGTTGAATATACATGAAAAGAATTACCCTGTCCACGACCTTGAGTTAGCTGCCATTGTTCATGCCTTGAAGATCTGGCATCATTATTTGTACGGTATGCCTTGTGAGATCTATACTGACCACCGGAGCTTGCAACACTTACTCAAGCAAAAGGATCTAAATACGCGTCAGAGGAGGTGGTTAGAGTTGCTAAAGGATTATGATATCACTATCCTGTATCACCCGGGCAAGGCCAACGTGGTGGCGGATGCCTTGAGTCGCCGGGCGGAGAGTTTGGGGAGTTTGGCATATCTACCAGCTTCGTAGAGGCCTATGGCGATGGATGTTCAGGCCTTAGCTAGCCAGTTTGTGAGATTGGATCTTTCAGAGCCCAGTCGGGTTCTAGCTTGTGTGGTTTCCCGGTCTTCCTTATTTGATCGTATCAGGGAGCAGCAGTATGAAGACCCTCATTTGCTTGTCCTTAAGGACAAGGTTCAGCGTGGAGATGCCAGAGATGTGACCATCGGAGATTACGGGGTATTCAGGATGCAGGGTCGGATTCGTGTGCCCAATATTGATGGGCTTCGAGAGTTGATTCTAGCAGAGGCCCATAGCTCGCGGTATTCCATCCATCCGGGTGCCGCGAAGATGTATCAGGACTTGAGGCAGCACTATTGGTGGAGGCGGATGAAGAAAGATATAGTTGGTTATGTGTCTAGGTGCCTCAACTGCCAGCAGGTGAAGTATGAGCACCAGCGCCCGGGTAGGTTGCTTCAGCAGATAGAGATTCCGGAGTGGAAATGGGAGCGCATCACCATGGACTTTGTATCTCGACTCCCACGGACCTTGAAGAAGTTTGATTCCATTTGGGTTGTTGTGGATCGGCTGACCAAGTCCGCTCGTTTTATTCTTGTGTGTACCACTTATTCATCGGAGCGGTTGGCGGAGATTTATACCCGGGAGATCATCCGTCTGCATGGTATTCCAGTTTCTATTATTTCGGACAGAGGTACTCAGTTTACATCGCGGTTCTGGAGAGTCGTGCAGCAGGAGTTAGGTACTCGGGTGGAGTTGAGCACAGCATTTCACCCCTAGACAGACGGACAGTCCGAGCGCACCATTCAGATTCTTGAGGATATGCTCCGTGCGTGTGTGTTTGAGTTTGGAGGGTCTTGGGATCATTTCTTGCCATTGGCGGAGTTTGCTTACAACAACAGTTATCCGTCCAGCATTTAGATGGTGCCGTATGAGGCTTTATATGGTAGGAGGTGTAGATCTCCGGTGGGCTGGTTTGAGCCGGGTGAGGCCAGGCTATTGGGCACAGAGTTGGTTCAAGACGCATTGGAGAAGGTTAAGATGATTCAGGATAGACTCCGTACAGCCCGGTCCAGACAGAAGAGCTACGCGGACAAGAAGGTTCGTGATGTTTCATATATGGTTGGTGAGCGGGTCCTGCTTCGGGTTTCGCATATGAAAGGCGTCATGAGGTTTGGGAAGAAAGGGAAGTTGAGTCCGAGGTTTATTGGCCCTTTTGAGATCTTGAGGCGAGTTGGGGAGGTTGCCTATGAGCTTGCCTTACCTCCCAGTTTGGCCGGAGTTCATCCGGTATTTCATGTTTCGATGCTCCGGAGGTATCACGGTGACCCGTCGCACATGTTGGATTTCAGTTTAGTTCAGTTGGACAAGGATCCATCCTATGTTGAGGAGCCAGTGGCTATATTGGACAGGCAGATCAGAAAGTTGAGGTCAGAGAACATAGCTTCAGTGAAGGTTCAGTGGCTGGGTCAGCCGGCCGAGGAGGCGACTTGGGAGACCGAACAGGATATGCACAGCAGTTACCCTCATCTTTTCACTACTTCAGGTATGTTCTCTATGCTCGTTCGAGGACGAACGAATGTTTAAGTGTAGGAGGATGTGACGACCCGGCCGATCGTCTTAAGAATTTACGCCCCGATCCCCTATTAACTGCTTCCCCTAAGCTCAATT